ATTTTTCCTTAGGATTTGTTTTTAGATTTTTGCTTCAGTTTCTTTATTAACATTTTTGCTCAGAATTTGTTTCTTGAGACTTTTCTCCTCAGTTTTTATTTTTAATACCTAATGGATATTTTTCGAAAGTATCTGCTCCTCTTGGACTTTTGCCCTCAAGTTCTTTACTTCCTAAAGGTATTTTCTTCCAATTTTGTTTGTCAGAGTGTTTTTTCTGTTGTTTAATTACACCTCCATACTAATTTCATCTGAATTTTCTGCTGAACTTGCAAGTTCATTTATACCCAATAATCCTCTTTTTTCAGAATTTTTCTTAGATGTTTATTTACTGGCTTTTTTTAACACCCAAAAGAAATTTTTCTCAGAAATGGTTCCTTTGAATCTTTCCCCAACTTTTTTTTTAATCCCAATACCCCTTTTTTTCTGATTTTTTTTTTTTTTTGTATCTCAGGGATTTGTTTTTCCCTATTTATACCCATATCTTTATCTAATCAGAACTTTTTACTTTGAGTTGTTATCCCCAGTAGACACTTCTAGAATTAAATTTAAAGAGATCTAACTTAATATCTTGAGAGTCTGTGTCACATCATTTTAATCTTGAGATACTCATGAAGAAGATAATCTAGTTTAGAAACTAGATTATTTTCTTCTTGGTTGTCAAATATAAATATGCTGGCCAAGAAAAGATCCAAATTAGAAATAACCTATTGATTTGCAAAATGGTGTTTCACTCTGTTTTAGAAGACATATTTGATAGAACTTTTTTTTAGAAATATTAGAACATTAAAACCATTGACTGTAGTACTGTAGCACTGTCCTCCCATTGTTCATTGATTTGCTCGAGTGGGCACCAGTAAGGTGAGACTTGTTACTGTGTTTGGCATATCAAATACATCACGGGAAGCTTGCCAGGCTTTGCTGTACTCTGGGTAGCTTGCCGGGCTCTCTGAGAGGGGCGGAGGAATCAAACTTGGGTCATCCACGTGCAAGGCAAACACCCTATCTGCTGTGCTATCACTCCAATTCTGAAATAATAGGAAGCAGTTATTTGTCTGCTGAATAATTAAGTATCACATACTTCACCCAAGTTTTATATGTGTTGAGAATATAAATAATTTTAAGATTAGATAAGTTAGTGAGAAGTTCTATGGCACTTGGCATATAACACTTTGTGGATACACAGCTGTTTTAGAAATCTCAAAGCTAAGGAAATGTAAAGTAAAGTAAAGTAAGTAAAGGCCCTCCCGTTGATCATCGATTTGCTCGAGCGGGCCCAGTAATGTCTCCATTGGAGACTTTGTTGTTACTGTGTTTGGCATATCGAATACGTCATAGGGAGCTCGCCAGGCTCTGCCGTGCGGGCGAGATACTCTCGGTAGCTTGCCGGGCTCTCCAAAAGGGGCGGAGGAATCGAACTTGGGTCGGCCATGTTGGCTGCGTGCAAGGCAAACGCCCTACTGCTGTGCTATCGTATCTGAATTTGTGGCTGTATGCCCTAATTTCAGAAATCAATTGTTTCTCAGTGAGGCCGTCATTTGTAAATGATTTTAATGACCATAATATCACAGATATATGATTAGTAATGAAAGGATCCTAAAACATATGAATACAGGAAAAATCCTGATCAGTAACACAGTGTTTTCAACTGTTGTGTTTCTGCATGTGTGTGCTTGTGTGTGCATGTGAACATGTGTGCATGTTTTCATGCTTACTCAAATGTATGTCTGTGCATTATAGTCAGCGCTTCTTTATTCCCACTCCTCTCCTGGTAATCAATGACACTGTTCTTGGCTTCCTCCAGCTTTTTCTGCCTGCGAGATCAAAGACATATTGCACATTTTTGGTAGCTCTGAATATATCCTTGGCAATATGGATGAATAATATAGTTATGAATAATATACAAGACATACTCACAATTCAAAATGAATGTTGTATTTTCAAGACTGCTTTTGTTTGGGAGTTTAGGAAAACTAGAAGGTTTTCTAACAGTTAAAGAAAATATTTTCTTTGTGGCTATCTTTTGAATTATAAAATATTGTGTTAAAATCTACAACAAATACAATTTCATGGATTTCAGAGCTTTGAGTAGTCTTTCTAAATTTTGGATTTAATGTGTTCATGCCAGAGACCGAATCAAAAGATACCAGATTTGTTAACTTGTAGTTAAAACGTTTTGTTTACAAGCTCTGATTTTCATCTAAAATAATTCCTTTGCAGGGTTCCACTTCAGTGTAATAAAAGATCAAATTTTAGTGAACAATGTTTTTTCTTCAAGTGTCAAAGTTGGGTTTCTAATGGGAAACAAACCTTTTTTGAATTGAGCATATACATTCTCGATGCAAACATTGAATTTGTGTATTTTTTGTTTTATGATTTCCTTTCTAACATCAACATTTTAAGAAATGAAATCCTCTGGAGACACTTGGGGAAATGGAATCACTGACAATGATAAACCAAGTCTTTTCACTCAGATCTCCTAACACCATGGCTTCAGATTCTGTCTTTCTTTTGCATTAACATTGACTTCCCAAACAATTTGCCCAAGTAAGGAAATGATTAAATATGTTTATGTGCAGAGGGGAACGGCCCAGTGTCGAGCTGAGGCTCTGATACGGATGCAGGGATAATTGATTGAGAAAGATCCCTAAGGGTGGAGGGAAGGATGGATTCCAGAGTCCACTGGGCGCGTTCGCCCGCGACAGGAGACCCTCTCCTGCCTCTAATAGAGGCCCCCACGGATTTGAATTGATGAGAGGCATGATTGCAAGGGAATTTACACCTGATCGCATGTTCATTCCCCACAAGATCTAAAATAGAAAGAAAGTTCCCTAGAAGGAGTGAGAGATGTCAGGACAGTGTCTGACCCAGGGATGCATCAGATAGCCGGCTAATTGAGAAGCTAGCTGAGGAAACCCAGAAGGGATGCATAAAGTGGTATTGCACAGAGAACTGTCAACTCCCTCCAATTGATTGTGTGCAGAAATAGAATTCACACTATATTGTGGGCCTTCCTGTGAAGGCTCATGATTCAGAGGCAAATATTCTCTGCGTGCTCCTAAAGACTGTGTGTGTATGGGGGAGGGAAGTCATGCCAGAATATATATGTGCTCAAACATCATTCCTGGCATTGCTCAGGGGACCGTATGAGATGGCAGAAATCAAACCCAGGTCAGCTACATGCAAGGCAAGCACCCCACCTGCTGTACTATCTGTCCAGTCCCATTTTTTTAATGAATCACTGTGAGCTAGATAGTTACAAAGTTGTCCATGATTCACTTTTGGTCCTACAATGTTCCATACAAGGTAATCATGCCCAGTGCCTCCAACTAATGCGAGCGTGCATGGATTTAGCTGCTGTTAGCCATGCTGGACTTGTCTGCCTTCTACATTCTCCCTTCTAAGAATACAGTCATATAAAATGAGCCACACCCATCCTTTCACCAGTGCACATTTCCCACCATAGATGTCTCCAGTTTCCCTCCCTGTACCGTACCTGCAGCCTACCTCTATGGCAGTTACTCCTCTCTCTCCCACTCTCTGTCTCTGTCTGTCTGTCTGTCTGTGCCTTTCTCTCATTCTCTCTTTTTCTCTCTCTTTCCCTCTCTTATTTTCCTTTTATACCCTGTGGTTTGCGATACTGTTACTGAGAGGGTACCATGCAAATCACTTTACCTCCTTTCAGTACTCAGTTCTTGTCCATAGTGATCATTTCCAACTATCATTGTCATCGAGATCCCTTCTCTGTCTTAACTGCCCTTCCCCTCTGCCTTTGTGACAACTCCCTACCTTGGACCAGCCCTCATAGCCTTCCAGTCCAAACTTTTAACTAAAAATACCCATGACCAATTCTTCCTCCAATAACCATGATATTCTATTAACTGCCACAGACAAGGAAGCTGACGATTAACTGAAAGGCCACACAATGAAAATAATCTAGCCCTTTGTTAAGTGCAATTAAATAAAGAGTTTTATTTGTTTGCTTGCTTTTGGGCCACATTCAGCAATGTAGGCTTACTCCTGGCTCTGCTCAGGGACCATGCCTGGTGGGCTCAAGGGAACTAATGGGGTGCTGGAGATAGAACCTAGGTCAGCTGTATGCAAGGCAAGTGCCCAATCCACTGTCCTATCTCTTCATTCCTTGAAATACAAAGCTTTTTGCAGGAAATCATAATTTTGCTAAAATTAAGGTTTTTGGAAAAGAGTTGGAAGAAAAGAATTTTAAAACATGTGCATAGTCAGAATTATAATTGTATTCTTTCTGTCCTTTTCTACCATCCCAAAGTTGTGTCCTCTTCTAAATAAAATCTACAGAATCCCATCATGGGCTTTGTGGTTAAAAAATAAATAAATCTGCTAAATCTCAAAACTGTTATATTTCTCCTTAACTATTCCCAATCTTCCTGAGAATTGTAATTTTCCCCTCCCACCCTTCCCTGCCCAGTATGATCATTGAACCAAACGCCAACGGTGTCTCGTTCCTTTGTGGTACACCAGAGGTTACCTGCACACCCCTCAGTCACTTGTAAACATGATTTTGTTCAGGTCTTTTTGACCATATATCACAAGAGAAAGAATAGAACAAAAAATCTCTTCCTGAAACTCCTCAGATATTTCCTTTGCAATTCCTCTTATTGGAGTTCTGCAGAAGTCATACAACATGTCCGTTGCTGAGAAATGGCATTGTGTTATAACCACTTCTGGAAGCAGCTTCCCCAGCCTCCCTAAATGGATTGTTTGCAGGTATTTGAAGAAGAAGGTGAAGTGGAACAGCAAAGATTCTTTTATAAAGGAAAAATCATAATCCTATCGCATATTCTTAATGATATTCAAGAGAACAAGAGGGGAGATCCATTGTGTTCTTCCAACTGAAAGTGTTCATTTTCCTTGATGTATAAAACAGCTGCTATTTCAGTAGGGCAAAGAGAACCTTAGCCAGTATGGTTGTGTAAGCTTAAAACCATTACCATTTTATGATAATTGAATTGTTTATCTTTTTTTAGGGACCATTGGGCCCTCCTGGACAAAAGGTAGAGTATGAACAGTACTGTGGAGGTCATTCTGCCTAGTGCCTACAGCTAGTCTGAGTGCGTATGGATTTAGCTGCTGTTAGCCATGCTGGACCTGTCTGCCATCTGCATTCTGCCTTCTAAAAATATAATCATATAAAGTGAGCCACTCATGTCTGGTCGACTCCCTTATAGAAAAGCCAATAAATCCAGAGCAGACTCTTTTAAGCTGTCTGCCAAGTGTGTAGGTAATTGAATTTTTAATTCAAATACTGGTAAAGCATTTGTGACTGAAACTTAGAATGGGAAGGGTTCCATGACACTCCAGATCAAATATGTGGCCTTGCTCCAGTTTCTGACGCCAAAGACCATCAAATTCATGAGAACAAAGGATGTCCTTACAGGATTACTGTCTGTCAGTGACTCGCTAGTGTCTTCCTCAACTGTGGGAAACTCAACGGTAACTTTCTGATTGCCTTTGCAGTGTTATCACAGTCCTCGAAGTTGACCCTTAGATTCTGGAGAGAGGCTCGAGCACTTCTAAAACTGCATCAGACTATTACTGTCATGTTGGTCCCTTATCTATCCTAACTGTTCGTTGCCCCACACATACTCTTGTGCATGATACTCTTCATGTCCATCCATTTATAAGCAAATTTCATGACTCCAGTCTTCCTTATGGTTGCATAGTATTCCACTGTGTAGATGTACCATTATCCAGTCATTTCTTTATCTAGTTGTCTGTTCTCAGGCACTCAGGTTGTTTCCAGATTTTGGCTATTGTGAACAGTGCTACAGTGAACATCTAAGTGCAGATGATGTTTCTGCTGTGTATTTTTGGGCCCAAAAAGTATATTCCCAGAAGTGGTATTACTGTGAGAGTGGTCAAATGAGAGCTCAATTTCTAGTTTTTTGAGGAATGTTCATATTGTTTTCAAAGAGATTGGACCAGTCGGTATTCACACCAACAGTGAAGGAGAGTCCCTTTCTCCCCACATCTGTGCCAGCACTGGTTGTTCTTGTTCTTTTGGATGCGTGCCAATCTCTATGGTGTGAGATGATATCTCATTGTTGTTTTGATTTGCATCTTTCTGACGATTAGTGATGTAGAATATTTTTTCATGTGCCTTTTGTCCATTTGAATTTCTTCTTTGAGGAAGTTTCTGTTTACTTCCTCTCCCCATTTTTTAATGGGGTTGGGTTTTTTTTTCTTGTAAATTTCAACCATTGTTCTATATAATTTTGATATTAATCCTTTATCAGATGGATACTGGGTAAATAATTTTTCTCATTCTGTGGACTGTCTTTGTATCTTAGGCACCATTTCTTTTGAGCTGCAAAGGCTTCTTAGTTTCATGTAGTCCCATTTGTTTATCTTTGCTTCCACTTGCTTGGTCAGTGATAGACAGGAACTGAGTATTGAAACTAGGTTAAGGGACATACCTGATACCTTTCATTATCTGTATTGCGAACCAAAAAAGAACCATTATCCGTATAAGACTAAAAAAGAAAGACAGAGACAGAGAAAGAAGAAAAGTGCCTGCCAAAATGGCAGGGGGGCAAGGACCGGGAGGGAAACTGGGACCATTGATTGTGGGGAAAATGCAGCTGGTGAAGGGATGGGTGTCAGAACATTATATGACTTAAATCAAACCATGAACAACTCTGTAAATGTGAATATCACTGTAATTCAATGAAAAAAATAAATGATAAAAATATTATCCATAATATATATCATAATCAAAAAATAAAACTGCACGAGGACTACAGTAGCAGTAAATGTATTCCTAACAGGTAGATGGTCGTTGGGCAATAAAAATATCACTGTCCCGATCCCTATTCTTTTTGTCTATAAGGGGGGAAAGGGATTTTTAGCCTGCAGTAAACTAAAGACAATTGTATCGTAACAGGTGGAAAAGTTATTATTCTTTATCTTTGGAATCCATCAAAGAGAGAGACTTTTTAATCCCCCAAGCACTGGGCATGTGGCATCTGTTGAAACATAATCCTACAAAGTAAAAGCCAGTGAGTGGGTACAAGTTGTGTATAGGAACACTTTGTCCTGTGCAATAATGTCTCTATTAAGCTTGGTGTGAAATTGTAAAGCTACCCTAATCCACATAGGGCCTGGATAAACTTACTGCCGCAGGCTTCAGGAAGTCTTTTAATGGCCCACTCAGAATAATCACAGAATGCTCTAAGGAACTAGGCTCTAAGGAACTCAGTTTCTTTTGCATATAATGACTGTATGTTTAATGCACTTTATTTTCAGAGCAGTTTTAGGTGCATAATTACTTTCTTAGAAAACTTATTTTCATTATTAATGAAGAAACTCAATATCATGCATCTACCAAGAAAAATCTGTTTTCTAGTGTTAGACGAAGAAGAGGAAATTTTTTTTTTAAATGGTTTCTCCAGAGTCTGAAAGAAAGGTGACTGGAGGGAAATGACATCACAGTTTGAAAACATGTGTTAATGTTTCTGTACCCAGTTAAATGTCATACTCTGTCAGCTTTCTTCTTCTCAGCTCCTCACCATGTATGATCACCTGAGTTTAACATGTGACCGCTAACTATGTTATCATGCACACACACACACACACTTACACACACGTGCGCGCACACACACACACACACACTCTTATGTATAGAAGTTTTGTTGTGCCTGCTCAGTCCTGAATATTTGTTGTCTTTTCTTTTCTACCTTGAAAGACAGACTTTCATGTACACTTACATGTACACTCACACTTACATGTACACCCTAAATGTCTAGTTTTTAAAAAATGCATAATGCAAACAATTTGGGCATACAACCTGGGGCTCTTACTTGACAAATAGCAGGGAAAATGGTAGTTACCTTTTTGTGGTATTTACATATAGAAATACCTTGTATTATTGCAATCAGCTTCATCTTCTATTCTGTCTCCTTAGGGCTCTGTTGGAGCACCTGGACTTCAAGGGCTGAATGGGCAAAAGGTGAGTTCTATTGAGCAAAGTATTTGTAATTAATTGAAGAGATTTAAAATCACAAATCATCCCAGTCAATAATGTTAATATTGATTTGAGTTTATAAAAACAGCACAGATATTTTTTAATATAGGGAAATCATGCATTTTTTTTAATTTTAAAAGGTACCTGAAATAGAAACCCTTAGAAAATTTTATTTTGATTTGATCTTATGAATATGATGCAACCATTTCTTTATCAAAATCATGCATGGAGTAGGGAGGTGATATGTTTAACTAAATTGTAGTCATGCAGAGGGAATTGATTGGACTTTTCTTAAATGAGCTTTTTTAACTCTTAAGCAAAATTAGAAATTAAATGGACTGGGTTCTGATAAGGCACTTTTACTGTGTTGTCAATAATAGTAAGGGGGAAAAAATAAGGTTAAGAAAGGGGGGGCATAGGTCTCTCTATGTGTCTGTGTGCATTTATCCCTGTGACATGCTTCCTAGGTTGACAGGGCAGCTAGCGCTACTGTGGGGTCTGCCAGCCTGTGTTGCTCACGCTCTGGCTGGTTCTTCCGTTTGGATCCTCTGCGGAGATCAGGAAAGCCGCTGTGGCGGCTGGCAAAACCCACAGCCCGCAGCCGCGCCAGACTGCCAGGAGCCAGAAGGCCAAGCAAGGGACTGTCTCCCTTAGATCTTTGGGACCAGTCTTTGAAATGCTGCCACCCAACGCTTTCGGTCCAGGCACCCGGAACTGAATTATGAAATCAGTAGCAGCCCAACCCTTGCAAGCAGCGGCAGCCTCCTAGGGACTTCCGTCCTGCCCATCTTTCTTCCCAAGTGTTACAAATATTCGTAGCTCAAAACCTGCTGAGTGCTGAAGCCGAAGCTGCTGAAGCTGGGTCTGGGCAGCCTGTACCTTCTCTGGCTGTGGTTTCCTCAACTGTTAAAGAGAAAGTAGAAAGTTTCCACCCAGTAAATCCCAAAAGGAGGATAACTGAGTTTAAAAGTCTTAAAAGTAGACGCCAGAGAGATAACAGGAGCAAGGATGTTTGCCTTGCTGGAGCCAGTTGGGGTGCGGTCCCCAAGCTCCACCAGGATGATCCCTGACTCCAACGAGCCAGGAATAAGTCCTGAGCACTGTTAAGTGTTGAGTGTGGATGCTCACGCACACACACACACACACATACACACACACAGAGAGAGATACTCACACACAGACACAAGATAAAATTTTAAGTGACTGTGAAAATACTCCTTCATTTTATGCCAGTGAAGCTGAAGATTTGATTCATCTGCCTTTTAAAAAGAAGTTCTCTGTTTCCACTTAGCTCCCCTGTGAAATTGAGGTTCCCATGCATAGCATTCTTTGGTCCACAAACCAAATCCAGCACTGTCCTCCCTGAGCACTGCCTGGGTGGGGCTGCTTTGGACTTCTCCATTTGCTTCATAAATCCTGGCTAAGACTAAAGGTTTTTTTTTTTTCTGCTTAGAATGATGTAGATGATGGAAGGAAACACAAGCAAAACAGTTGAAAGGATATGTATTTTAAGATGGATTTGCAAATTATATGAGAAGATAGTGTTTAGAAAAGACAAAATTTAAATATAGCATGAGCGTTGTTAACACTGGTGTAAAACAAAAATTGCATGCCTATGGTTAAGGCTTTGCTGTTTCTCTGTTTCTTTTTTTTTCCACTTTGAGACAATCATGAACATTTATAGGAACCTTTCAGCCTGAAACAACACAACTTTAAAACTGTCACATCGGTGCTTATAAAGACTTCGTGTTCTTTATTTTTGCAAAGGAAACATGCAATTTCCCTAGCAAGAAAAAGGAATGTGACATTTTCTTGTCCTAGTCACCCACTTTAAATTATATTTCAAGCAAATAGACAGCTAATATTTGCAGTTTTATGTCTTATTATAATCGTTGTGGCATTTTAAATTGCTTCCTATAAAACCTAGGGAAGTTAAATGATTTTCTTCCTTTATGAAGTACAGCAAAAATGTCATGTAAAATAGTTTTTCCTACCCCATAGAACTTACCCTAAAACTTTGTGTATCCTAGTGATTACCTAACACTTGTAATGCTTTCTGTGCCATCTTTAGGATGATAAAATGCGAACATGGCTGAGTCTCCATTATGCCAGCATTTCAACAATAAAAACTCAGTTGGAACTAGAAAAATAATTTTATACTTGAAACATATGAAATATGTCTTAGATCTCTAGAATTTGTTTTTTTCTAAGGGTTTATAATGGCATCATAATTTTTAAAAAGCATCTCAGTACACTTAAACTGTCTTGGCAAAGTATTTTTTTCCACATTACAATTTCATTTTCTCCAAAGAAGTGCAGTGGGTGTTTATAAAATAGTTTTCAGACAATGGTTACAGATATACATGATATCTTAACCACCCAAAAGTGGCAGATAGCAACTTGAAAATAAAAGATTTTTGCCTAAAAAAAAAAAGAAAGAAAAGTGAATTATTCTAAGAAAATATTTTCTTTTCCATTAGAAACTTCTCTGTCCTTTCTGACATAAAACTGGTGACTATTTTTCTGGACAGTAAGCTTGGTGCTGCCTGTTTATGAAGTCTTGTCTTCCATTCCATACGTGTCACCTGATTGTTAATATACATTACTAAAGATTGTTAAGGTCTTACAGTTCTTTAGGAAACTGGACGAGGAAAAACTACTTTTGTAGCACTAACCTGGCCTTTATGTGGCATTTTAGTCTTGCAAGAGCTCGTGAGCACTTTCAATGAAAAGGCACAAGCTTCTGGGTTCAGAATACCCGAGAATACACACATTCTGTCCCTTGTTTGGTGAAGATTGTTAAACATTTCTAAGACCCGGAGTTCAATATAAATATAGACGTTGCAGTATTCACTGGGTAACTCGGATGAGTGCTTTGTAATAGGTGTTCAATATGTGTCTAAAGGATGAGACTTTCTGAGTTTTCACGGTTAGGCTTAGAGCATCCTCCCACCAGAAATAGGAGCCAGAATTTATATTGGCAGAAAACAGACATGGGCAGTGACAGCAGAGGAAAACTGAGCCTCTGTTCCTGGCTCTGATCCCCATATTCTGCCCCACGTTGAACGGTTGCCATGTTGCCATGTGAATATGGAGGATGTGGGCATGAGACCATCTCCTCTCCTAGGTACGGGACTGTACAACCTCGAATGCTGGCTGGGTACAGGGTGCTCAACCCCTACTCTTCCGCCTCTGTGCAGCCTTTGAAGCCTCTGTTTCTCTCTGAGCCCAAGAGGCCTGCATTTGTCAAATGAGAAATGTGCCAGGCTCATTTATCTCTAAATCCCTTCCCTTTTTCGAAGCCCTACCTCTGTCTCATCCCAACGAACTTCTAGAACCCTCTGTTCCCAATTACAGAAACCCTTGTTTCCATAGCTTGGGCTTATTTCCAAGAGCTGAAGCAGTACTGGACAGATTTGATTGCTTCCCTCTTGTCCTGCTAATTGTATTGGACACAGAAACTATTTAATTGTCACTGTCACTGTCACTGTCCTCCCGTTGATCATCGATTTGCTCGAGTGGGCCTAGTAACGTCTCCATTGGAGACTGTTGTTACTGTCTTTGGCATGTCGAATACATCACGGGTAGCTTGCCAGGCTCTGCCGTGCGGGCGAGATACTCTCGGTAGCTTGCCAGGCTCTTCGAGAGGGGCGGAGGAATCGAACTTGGGTCGGCCATGTTGGCTGCGTGCAAGGCAAACGCCCTACTGCTGTGCTATCGCTCCAGCCCATTTAATTGTCACTGGATAGATTGTGTTGGTTTAAAGGTACAATTAATGCTTTATCTGTTCTCCACAATTCAGTTGCCCCTCTTTCCACCTTCTCTTTCCTCCTTCTCTCTCTCTTTCTTTCTGTATCTCTGTCTCTGTCTTTGTCTCTCTCTCTTTCTCTCTTGCTCTCTCTCTCTCTCTCTCTCTCTCTCTCACACACACACACACACACGCACACACGATCAAACGTGCAGAGGTTAATATGTGAGTGTCAGTTAAGCCTTACGTCCCTTGAGAACTGGGGACTTTTAAAAATAATTTGTAGTAGACTTATGTTTTAAATGGAAGAACCCTTTGACAAAATTCACCACTGACTAGCGCATTTCTTGGCATGTGCGTATGTGAGCACTTTAACAATGTGAATGCCTACCAGATAAAATTAGAACTCGCACTGTTTTCTGTGCTTCCCACCGCTTAGCATCTATAGAACAGCCAGGCCGTTGTAGTCCAGCAGGCCCAGTGCATGCAAAGGACAGAGCAACACCAGAGACCGAGCACAGAGGACAGAGGAAATAGGATTTGGGGGACCAGGGTAATCACTCAAGGGGCGAAACACATGCAGGAGGCCCAGATTGATCCCCAGCACTTTGTGGTTTCCCGAGCAGTACAGGATGGACACCTCCAGATCCCAGGGAGCCCAGAGTAGCCACTGAGCACATTGACTGTGACCCCCAGGAGAGTCCAGTGGCAGCCTTGACTCATGCAGCTCTAGTTCTCATCCCTTAGCAGACAAAGCTGAAGATTTTCAGGATGAAAAGCCAATTATTGTGTCTGAGCCAAAAACCTGAAACGTTCTGAGGCCCAGCCCCCAAGTCCTAAAAATTGTTTCCAAAGCAAAAGATAAATATCAAATGACCTCTTTTTTGTATGTTTTTCAAGAGTTTTCCAGTATTTATCACTTTGAAAAGTTCAGAATCGATTATAAATTAAAAATTGATAGTATCGCATCTATGAATCTATCCCAGATAGCTGTGACTTTATTTTTAAGTCACATTAAATTTTAATTAGCTTATAGTTTGGTATTTCGAGATCCTTTTCATCTCTTATCCATGGATGGATACAGCTTTTCGCTGACATTAATCTTCACAGCATACTTCTTATGGCATTTTTATTGTAAGCATATTTAGAGAGCAAGTAAACTGAAGCTCTTGGACTTTCAAAAGGTCAAATCCATGCAGTGGTTCATACCACGAACTCATTACTTTCTATCTCTGAT